GGGCCTAGGAGGACGACAGCAGATGTTTCCTCTGACAATTGTAGTGGGTGGGGGATGGGGGGTGCGGAGGAGGAATCCCCCTGTAAATTCTTATGGAAGCTCCACCACCATTGTGTTGGGAGGCTGTCAATGGGGGAGGTTGTCCATGTGGAGGCTGAGTGTCCTCTAGTTGGGGGTTCTCTCGCCTCCCCCGGTACTATAGAAAGATTTGCTCTGACCTGATGAGCCGAATGGTTTCTCTGGATCGGTGGCATTAAATTAGAGGCCAGACACAGCCAGGTGAAGGAGGTCAGCAGAGGAGGCAGCCTCCATTCTTCCTGGTTTAGGTTTCCTTTAAGAAGATGTAGAAGGGAAAGCAGAGCCGTGGCCCGCGAGATCCACAAAGGGCCTCAGATGATGGCGTGCAATGCTAGAGGGAGCCGTTGGAGTTGTCAGACATGATGAGCAGGAGCAGGTCTTGGTGAGGAGGCTGGGGCCCTTCCCTGGCAGTGTTGCGGCGTAGTACGGGGCCCCAGCAGGAACGCCTCTTCTCCGGATGCTTTGCTACGTAAGACGGGCTCTTGGTAGTCCAGTAATGGGGAAACCTCGGCCTCCATCTGTGGTGAGACTACAAGTCCCATGAGGCATTGCAATACTCTGAAAACAACAGGCATGGCTATCTCCTCGGCCCTTCTATAGATTGACATTTCGCAGTGTCAGATCCCGGCAGTGATCCCTCCATACATCGTGCTATAAATAGCGGGTGATTCCCCTTTAAGGCTCCCGGCTGTTATTAATACTCGGGAGAGACATGAAATGCCGAGTGTCAGCCACTTCCTGTGCAGATCTGTCCCCGGGCCCCGAGAGACGGGACATGACCCTCGTATGTACTGCAGAGACCCCAGACATGGCAGGGTACGTGACCCTCGTATGTACTGCAGAGACCCCAGACATGGCGGGGTACGTGACCCTCGTATGTACTGCAGAGACCAAGTGTGTTGGCACTGCATGCAGCATGCTGATAGGAGGGGAGAGCAGAGTGGACCTCATCAGTCTGCTGCTCCTCTCTTCACTGTTCAGTCCCCGGGCGGGGGTGGAGAGGAGAGCTGTGAATAAACCTGCAGCAGAGGACTATCGGTTCCCTGCCAGGCAGGGCTGTGCAAATCTCAGGACTGGATGGCTGGCAATCCCATGTTGGGGGCGGCGGCTCCCATGTCTGTATTCTGCCTTCAGCTGTCAGTAATCAGGAGAGGTAATCACACAGAGGCCGCTGCCAGGTTCCTGGGAAATGATGGAATGTGAAGTTTGTGGTATATTCCTGTCTGGCCTCATCCGTAGTAATGGAGGCCGTGTGTTGTCCGGCCTCATCTGTAGTAATGGAGGCCGTGTGTTGTCCGGCCTCATCTGTAGTAATGGAGGCCGTGTATTGTCCAGCCTCATCTGTAGTAATGGAGGCCGTGTATAGTCCGGCCTCATCCGTAGTAATGGAGGCCGTGTATTGTCCGGCCTCATCCGTAGTAATGGAGGCCGTGTATTGTCCGGCCTCATCCGTAGTAATGGAGGCCGTGTATTGTCCGGCCTCATCTGTAGTAATGGAGGCCGTGTATTGTCCGGCCTCATCTGTAGTAATGGAGGCCGTGTATTGTCCAGCCTCATCTGTAGTAATGGAGGCCGTGTATTGTCCAGCCTCATCTGTAGTAATGGAGGCCGTGTATTGTCCA